GGTCCTGCCCCCTTCCTGCGTCCCCCGTGGCTCTCCCACATCAGTCTATTTACCCTCCCTCAAGGCTCACGAGTCTGGGGCCATCCCCTCAGCATTCGCTGTGAGTGGGAGAATCTGATTGTGTGTTTCCGTGGAGAGGCTGTCAGGAGTGTGGAGGCCTGCTTCTGCGTGAGCTAGCTCTGGGAATGCCTTCCTCCCCTCCTCTAAAAATGAAGGCTGCTGTCCCCGCTTGCCTGGAACTTAGAGGGGTGAGAGATGAGCTGAGAACTCAGGATGGCCCTAGGCAAACCAGAGCAGCTGACCCCTGCCCTAGAGCAATCTACATCAGGAAGCAGAGAAGTTTTCTGTGAGCTTGTCTCATGACATGGCATAGTCTCCCATCTTCCCTTGGGCTCATCAGCTCTGCCACAGTCAAGGCATGCTCAGCTCTGCGTGTGCCCTCCCTGGACCCTTTACCAAAAGGTCAGGGTGACGCTCAGACTCGATACCAGTCCAGAGCCCCGCCTTTTGCTTCCTGGATGAAGGTCTGTTTGTTTTGCTATTAAGGACATTTGAATTTTCCCTCAGAGTAGGGATAAGGTTGGGTGACTTGTTGAGAGAAAAATCCATTTCCCTGAGGAGGACGTGGGCTGGCATGAAAATCACACTAATTGAGGCTTGTTAAGGAGTACCCTAAATTCCATAATTGTCCAAACGGACTCGGGTTTGGGAGAGTAATGATGCCGCTAATGACAATAATAGCTCCCTTTACTGGGTGCCCAGGATGCTTAACCATATCAGGGATTTTATCCTCTCTCTGTGTGTGTGTGCATGGGCGTGTGCTGTGCACAAGTGCACGTATGAGGTGGGCTCATGTGAACATGTGTCCCTCACATGTTTCTCGCCCTTTCCCGGTATTCCTCAGGCGCTGCCCACATTGTTTGTTTGTTTTTTGTTTGTTTTTCTTCAGACAGGATTTCTCAGTGGCCTAGAACTTCCTACTTAGGCTGTGTGGCCTGCCAGGGAGTCCCAGGGACCTTGGTGTCTCCACTCCACGGCCCCGGGACTAAGAGCACGTGTCACCGTGTCTACTTTTAAAATGCGTGGGGTATGGAGAATCACACTGTGGCCCCTGCACTTTCACAACGAGCGCTTCACGCCCCGACCCAGGAGCATAGACCAGTTCCTTGTTTTCAAACCGAGAAAGTGGTGCTCAGGCAGAGCAAATGAGCTGACAAAGGCTACACAGTTATCCAAACAGCAGGGCTGAGGTCTTTCATTCCCTCTGCCCCCCTGCCTCTTCCTGTTACCATTTCTCAAGAGAAGCTTGCTTAGAAATGGAGACGTCAGGCTAGGGAGACGATTGCTCCGTGGGTAAAGTGCCTGCTATGCAAGCCTGCGGCCTGACTTCAGGTCCCCAGCACCCATGTAAATCCCTGGGTGCAGTAGTCCACGCTGCAACATGGGGCCTGTGGGGTGGAGACAGATTAGTGAGGGCAGCTCTGCATTTTGGAAGTCCCGCTGTGTTGCTGGCCAGACTTGCCCACTCGCACCTTTGGGTCCCCTCAGTAGGTGCAGGTCAGGGCCAGCAGCGCTAGTACACCCCAAGGCTAAGGCAGATGCCATCTGTAAAGGGAGCTTCTGAGAACATGTCTGAGGAATGCCTGCTCTCGGCTCCTGAGACCTGCCGTCTAAGATGTCCCCAAACACAACCTGAAAGGCAAACAGAAGACTCTTCTGGCTTTTCACAGTGCTCAAAATGAAAACAAAAAACAAAAAACCCCACTCCAGTTTCTCAAGCTGCTTAAATTTGATTTAATCAGAAACATGGACCTCCAAAAACTTCCCCTGCAGGCTGAGAACCCTGCTGAGAAACTTTGGTCCAGAGTGTAATTAGCCAGAGAGAATTACCAACATTGGGAAATAAAACTCCGTATGATAGAGCCTCCCAATTATGGGGACAGTGTCAGTTATTCACTCTGAATATACATGTATTTATCCCATCGTCTTGTCGGTTAATGACACAAGCAAGGCGATACACTCCCATTATTGCTCAATAATGGACCACGGAGACGGCGCATCTTTGCCTTATTTTTGCTGGCACATCCAAGCACTGAAGCGCATTAAAGTAATAAAATTAAGCAAGGCGTCCTGGTCCCTCCCACCGTGTTCCCGTAACCCCCTCATTTACAGCAGACTGAGATAGAAAGAAAGTTTTAGAGCAATTTAAGATGAGACAATGCTGGGCATGCAAATGCTGTTTTACTGGCGGCTGGGGCAGGGAGCTGGGACGCCTAACAGCCTTCAGCTGATGGGCTGCGCTGGCCTGCAGTAGTTCAGGATCAAGGCCACGTGGGGGACATGGAGAGTTAAACACGTCTTCATTCTCTTCACACCATGAACTCTGTGGCTGTGCCGACCATTCTCTCGCCTTCAGGCCGGGTGTCTGATCAGCTGCAGGTCTGCTAAGGAGCCTGATAAGCTTGAAGGGTTTTCGAAAGGGTTTGGGTGTGTGTGTGTGTGTTGTGTGTATACATGCATGCACAAGTTTGCTCATTCGTGCGGACCCATAGAAGCCAATGGTTGATGTTGGTGTCTTTTCATCTTATTGTTTCCAAGCAAGGCCCCTCATCCTGGAGCTCATTATGAGCCCTGGGGAAATGTCTTGTGTCCATCTCGTCAGTGTGAGGTTACGAGAATGGGCCACCGTACCCTGCCTTCCTTTCGCATGAGTTTGGGGATCACACTCAGGTCCTCACGGGTGCACAACAAGCATTTTCACCAACTGAACTCTCTCTATGGTAGTTAAGCACAAGATTTTATAGAGGTGAATGATGCTTCTTACATTTAAGAAATGAACTGTTCCTGGTCCTTATCTCTACCAAAGGAAGCACCTGCCAGAGTGGAGGACGCAGGGAGGGCAATTATGAGGGAAAACATGGATGTGAGTTTGGGAGCATGAGAGAGACAGCAGGGCAGATCCGCCTGTGTAACCCAGGTCTTTTCCATATGCTGTGGTTGGAGGGGCTGAGCCACAGCGTGCATTGCCATAGTCTGTCAGCAGACACACAGCTGTAGAACAGGAGACCCAGGGCTCAGCAGGGCCTTGTCCCCGTCCCATGCGCAGTGACTCCAAGAGGCAAGTGGAGGGAAGAGGGAAGTATCACTCCACTCCATGGAACCTCTAGGCTCTGTCGTGTTTAGTGGAGCTATTATAAAAATAAGTGGCCTAAAAGCAGGTGAGCAAGTCAGGGCTGGCCAGACGGCACATCCCTGCACTGTCTTCCCACGAGGCCTCTTCTGCTGGGACTGACTGTGCCCAAACCTGCACCAGGTAAGACAGTGTAGGGCAGGCCTCTTGGGCAGGCTGGGGATTCTGTCCAGCTCCTCTCTGTCGTGTGGGACAGAGAGCAGGAGACCAGGGCAGCAGGGCGGTGGCCTCCCAGCCAGTGTGTCCCCAGGTAGATGAGGCAAGGCAGTGTCTCAGGGCCCACGTGCTGTCAAACTATACATGAAGAATACTACAATGGCTGTGTCACAACTGTTGCCCTCGTCAGCCACTGGGCCACCAGAAAACGTCACCTACTCTGTGTGTGTGTGTGTGTGTGTGTGTTGGAGCCCCCAGATCCTTCCTCTTATAATAGGCAGAACAGCAAATGAATTTGACCCTCAGGAAGGGGCGCCTGGGCATGGGAGGAACACAGACCCGGACACCGAGCTTAGGGCACTCTTTCTGTGAACTAAGCTCAGCTTGCATGGCTTCCAGAAACTGAACTTTCATTCCTCCTCCTAACTGCAGGAGTGCCCTCCATTCATGGGCCTTTGCACATTTCTTTTCCATCAATAACCCTCCAGGTGACTCACCTCCAGAGCGCTCTTTACTCTGTCAGGTGTTTTGCACCATCTATTTTTTTTTTCTTTTGGTCTTTCCTTCCACCACGGCTTTCTGCCTTATGTCCTTATATATGGCAATACTTTGTCCTTATTTTTCTTATGACTATAGTTGACAAAAACAGACCTCATGGGTGGAATGTGGTTATGCCTTTGTCAGTAAGGAGTAATTGTATGGCCATGAACACTGGAGGTGGGTATTAGTCTGTTTTCTTTTGCTATAACATTACCTGAGGCCAGAGAGAGTCTGAAGTTTTAACCCACAGTGTCAGAGACTCACACACACGACATTGGCTTATGCTCGGCTTTGGTGGTAGCATCACAGGGCAAGGGCTTGCGCAGGAGTGATTACCCAGTAAGACAGGAAGCCAGGGGCTTGTGGGAAGTGTCAAGGGCCTGCAGTCTCAGCTCTAGAGAGATGGAAGTGGCAGGACCAAGAGTTCAGGGGTCATCTTTAGCTATGGATGGGTTTGAGACCAGCCTGAGCGATGTGAGGTTCTGTCTCAAAACAATAAAAAGCCAAAAGAATGAAAGCAGCTGGCAGGGCTGGACATCACTTCTTTTGTCTTTTTTAAATAACATCTTTCCCTCGTGAGAATCACACCCAGAAGCCAGCCTGAATGGATCCCAGAGCAAAGTCCTCAATGGCTTTGTCAACATATACTAGGCCCCAGATTTTTCTATGCAAATTTTAGGAAATATTTGTTTTTATTTTATGTGTGTATTTGTTGGCATGTGTGTGGGCTGTGTGTTTGCAGTGTCTATGAGAAACAGAAAAAGTAGTCTGATCACAAGGAATTGCTGTTAACAGATGGTTGTGAGCTGTCATGTGGGTGCTGAGAACTGAATCTGGGTCCTCTGCAAGAGCATCCAGCGCTGTTAACCACTGAGCCATCTCTCTAGCCCCAATGCCAAATTTTTCATTGAATGTGTGTGTGTGCGTATCGCTCTGTATCACACTCATCTCTGTCCTGTCATAAGCCCTGAGTTAAGCAGCCTCAGAAGGCCATCTACAGTAACATGACCACTCACAAAAATTCATGGCAATTGTGTGTGTGTGCGCACTATGACTGAGGACATCTATCATGGGAGACTGGGTCAGATAAAGATCTCTTTTTTCCTACTCTCAGGCTGGTTATGATGGTGAGAGCATTGGAAACTGCCCATTTTCTCAGCGTCTCTTTATGATCCTCTGGCTAAAGGGTGTTATATTCAACGTGACAACAGTGGACCTGAAAAGGTGAGTTGAGGCTTCTGCGTCATTGCAATAACTGGGACTAACTCTGTACTCAGAAACACACCCTTTCATGTATACAAACATGTGTGTGCACGCACGCGCGTGCGCACACACACACACACACACACACACATACACACTGCTAGGAACCATGGGAATATAATGGCATGCTATCCTCAGTCAGGAGCCTGAAATGAAGCCCAAGGGCTAGCCAAGCGGTATGGTTCATATAGAGAGCAGAGATGCAGACAGATAGGAGTAGGGTTTCGGGACCAGGGAGAGCCTGCTTTCCCTCCTAGAAGCCTGCCTCCTGCTGCTCCTGGCTGATAACACTGGAGAGTTAGTTAACTCTCATCATTTGTTAGTGTATCCCTTGGCTTTAGTCTCCAGAAAGCCACCTTATTGATTCACAAACCACTTTGAAATTCTCAAGAATTGTATCTCTTAAATGGTGGAGGCATGACTACGCCTTGGTCACACCTCAGTTTTCAAGATCATCCATCAGATTGAACTTCTAGGAATTTCTCTTCTTCCTTGTATCTAGGAAGCCTGCAGACCTTCAGAACCTGGCTCCTGGGACGAACCCTCCTTTCATGACTTTTGATGGAGAAGTCAAGACGGATGTGAACAAAATTGAGGAGTTCTTAGAGGAGAAGTTAGTTCCCCCAAGGTAGGCCTTCTAGAACGGATACTCAACTTTTTTGGTGCTTTTCTACTTGGTCATGCACAGTGTGCCACAGGAAGCAGCCATGTTAGACACCTTGAGTTAAGATGGACTCTGCTTCTGATCTGGTTTCATTTCTGTTGCTGTGACAAAAACATCCTAAAAAAGGCAACTTAGGGGAGGAAAAGGTTTATGTATCTCGCAATTCCAAGTTGTAGTCCATGATTGCAGGGAGGTCAGTGGGATAAGAATGTAAGGCAGGCAGCCACACCACAGTGCCAACCAAGAGCAGAGAGAAATGCATACTTCCTACTATAATAACCCCTGCCCTACATAGTTCAGGACCCCTTTCCTAGGGAATGGTACCACCCACATTGGACTGGATGTTCCGATATCAGTTAACCATCAAGTCATACCTACAGGCCAATCTGATCTAGACATTTCCTCAATTGAGGCTCTTCTCTCAAGTGATTCTAGGTTGTGGCAAGTTGACAGTTAAAACCAACCATCATGGCTTCCTTTCTTTGTATTCATAGCTTGACAATTAGGATGCTATGGCAGAAGGGAAGGAGGAGGCATTGTTGCCCTGTGGGATAACTGTTTCTTGAAGTCAAATACTTTCATTAGACTAGGGAAGAAATCAGGGCACAAACAGCTGGTTGACCCTTGTCTCCTAGGATTGGTCTTGTCAGTACTAGATTCAATGCAGTCCTCCTAAATCATATTTTCACTCAACCTTGAGTTTCGTTGGTTAGTAAATCAGTGTAGAGGAGCCTGTCATTTTAATGTCTGCCCAGAGAAAGACTTTTTCCTGTCCCACATTATCCTAACTAGCTATTGTGGTTTTTTTTGTGACCCTCCAATTTTGAACTCATCAAGGTACCCTAAGCTTGGAACCCAACATCCAGAATCCAACTCAGCAGGAAATGATGTTTTTGCCAAATTCTCAGCATTTATTAAAAATACCAAGAAGGATGCAAACGAGAGTAAGTACTTTTGTTGTGGGTTCTGTTTCCTGTGCGGTCTTCTGTGTGGCTGCTGAAGAGATACTGGGCATCTGGGATCATTTCACAGAGGGTACATGTGGGAGTCTGGAAATAGGGGAAAACACCCCACCTTTGGCTCTGCATGTGACTTGGGAGAGATTGTTTCTAGAGTTTGGGAATCCAAAGTACAACATCATTAAGGGGAAACATTCGAACACTCAGCTGTTTCCACCTGCAGTGTGGGAACTGTTTAAATCGTGCCCCTGCCACTCTCTAACTCATCACAGGCTTCTCATAAATGTCTATAAGAGTGGATGAGTTGGGGCTGGATAGATGGGTCACACTTAGGAGCGGTTCTTATGGAGGACTGCAGTTTGGTTCCCAGCCCTTATACCAGGTCTCTGGGGAACCTGTACCCATGTGGTATGCACGCATGCACACACACACACTAAAAAGCAAAGGATAAATGAAAGTAAATAAAAAATATCCTAAAAATCTGATGAGTCCTGAAGTAGCAGAGCTGTGTAGACGGCACAGGGGGACTGAGTCCTGTCTGCGCCTGTGTCCTGGTCTTCTTGCTGCTCGCTGGCTGTGTCTCAGAGGGGCAGCGCCTCCAGCTCTCCCCTTCCCAGGTGGAAAGACACGGCAGCCTCTTGCCTGGCCCATCTCAGGCATCTCTTGCCTTTGTGTTTCAGTTTATGAAAAGAACCTGCTCCGGGCCCTGAAGAAGCTGGACAGTTACTTAAACAGCCCGCTGCCAGATGAAATAGACGCTTACAGCACAGAGGATGTCACTGTTTCCCAGAGGAAGTTTCTGGACGGGGATGAGCTCACACTGGCCGACTGTAACCTCTTACCCAAGCTCCACATCATTAAGGTTTGTCTTAGCTCCTGACTCTGGGCTGGATGCATGGATGAGGCTTTGCGGGTTTTGATGTTCTGACTTCTGCTGGGATCAGACATCCAAACAGGCCTGGAAGGCAGACTTGAACTGGAAACCAGCAGTTAATCTTCAGAGCAGGCAAGCTGCAGTGTCCAGACACATGGAATCACATTCTCATGAAATACCTGGGCGCATGCTTTCTGCCCTATGTCCTCACTCATGTTCTCGGCCTAAAGACAAGTTATGTGTAACAGATCAGCGCACCCAGGGTCTCCTTGGCATTTACCACATGTAGGAAGATGGCACATTGTTGATAATTCCAGGGACAAACAAGGATGTTCTAGGGACAATAGAAGGGGTCTATCAACTCTTACTATCAGCCCTCACAGCTAAGAGCAGCTGATATAGCTCCTTGGCGTGGCCTTGTCTGTAGCTGGTACCCTCTATTCCTAGGTAGTTGCCAGTTCTTTGAGTGAATGTCTTTTCGATGGCTTTGCGAAGGTCCCAATATCCAAAGTCTAATGCAAGTTTCTCAATAACTCAAAATCTTCTGGATTAGAAGTCAGTATCCAATTAGATAGCTGTGCCACTGTGTCATAGCCTAGTCCCTCTCAGGGATGGAGTTTTAGCCTTTTCTGTGAACGATGTAGCACCAGACAGGTATATGCAGGCTGAAGAGGAGACTGTAGTTACTATGACAAAATGCTTGAGAAAATCCGTATAGGAAAAGAAAGGTTTATTTTGACCTGTGGTTTCAGAGTTACAGTCCACGGTCAGCTGGCTCTAGTGATGATGGGCCTGTGGGGAGCACAATGGCACAAGAAAGTAGCTGAGCTTGTGGCAGCCAGGAGGTAGAGAGAGCAAGAAGGAGCATCTGGAGACGAGATGTACCCTTCAAAGCTCCCAGTAGCCTGGGCCCCACCTCCTATTACCTCCTCAGCAACAATTAACTGGTGGGTAGCACCCTCATGGGCCAGTCACCACCAGTTGGGGACCTAGCCTTTATTAGAAAAGTGTATAATGTCTAAACCACAATAAAGAACATGAGAAATATCACGGCCACACAGGACTAACCACAATGTGCTTTATTTGTATAAAAAAGGAGGGGCTGGAGAGATGGCTCTGTGGTTAAGAGCACTTGCTGACCTTGCAGAGGCTCAGAGTTTGGTTCTCAGCACTAATATTAGATAGCCCACAATCACACGTAACTGCAGCTCCAGGGGACTGAACTCCTTCATCTGGTCTCTACGAGCGCTTACATGAAAACACACACACACACACACACACACACACACAGGTCAACAGTAGGAAGGGTAAGCTTTGGGGTGGGGTAGGTCTAAAGCAGTCCATGGGGCTAATATAAGCTCGAAACAGAATCTGCAAGGCCACTTAGCACTTAAGATACTAAACTGTTTAATGGTCTTCCAGAACAGGGTACTTTTGAAGGAAATGAGAATCAGTCCAAGGGAATTATGGTAAAAGATGAGAGTGAAGAGATTTATAATTTATTTCCCTTCCTGAGAACCGCTGAAAACGATATTGCAAATAGGCATTGGCTTCCTCTTTCCCAAGCCTATGAAAGAATGACAGAACATGCACAAAAGCGAAGAAATCTGAGAGACGGGGCAGATGGGCCATCGCTTCCTGCACAGTTAGAAAGGCCAGAGTTCTCGAGAAGCACATAATGCAATTCTGAACCCCCGAGATCTTTGTTTACAGAGTGGGGCATGTTCGGCCAGCGAGGGAAAGGTTATAGCGAGCCCTTGGGTTGAGATCTCTGAAGAGACAGAATTGAAGGAAGGACCATGCAGAGATGATGGCTGTACAGCCTGTGCCCAGCCCCCTGACCACTGGTGCATCCTAGAGGGAGATGGGGAGAGTGGGGAAGAAAGGATCTGGCATTATGAGTTGTGGCTGCTGAGCAGAGTCAAAAAAAAAAAAAGGAGTTCCCTGATTCTAACTCTAATGCTGGCCCTATCTCTAACACCAGCTCTAAGGTGTCCCTGAGGCAGAGTGTGGAGGTCAAGGATTTCCTGAGTGAATGCACATTGGGAATACCGAGTTTGCCCTGTCTCACTCTTATTGCTCTACATAATTTCTAAGCAAAGGTAACTCTTAATATGTCTGCCTCAATAAGTCGTGACTGGCAACAAGAAAGAATCCACATGAGACCACTGTATAGCTGGAGACAATAAAAGTGGAGAAAAATGATGAAGGCCCACTCAAAATTAAAGAAAGAAAAAAAGGGGGGGGAGGATAGGAAATACATATGTGATGGAGATTTGTCCCAGCAAAGCAAAGAACATTCCAGACTTTTCTACAACCTTGGAAAGGGAAAATAATATGGACTTCTTCAGAAAACCCTCTAAGACAAGACACAGAATGTCAAAAACCACTGTACCAGAAAAGAATGCAACCTAGGCCAGAAGAATTTGAGCAAGAAAAGTAAAGATAGATAAAATCTCCAGGAAATAAAAAAAAATTTCTGTAGATGTAGCAAGAAGCAGACAAAAGGACACCTAAAATCAAATGTCCAGGACCCAGGTGTTTATACTCAGAGTTGAAGAGGAGGGAAGGAAAAAAGAAAGGGCTAGGAGGAGAGAGAGGAGGTGTAAGCAGAACATCATTTTAATTAAAGGAGAGCCCGACCCTCTTCTCTATCTAAAGAACAGCCTGGACTGACCATCTGTGCCAAGGATGAAACCCAGGGACTTGCATTTGCTAGTCAACTACTTGATCACCAAGCTTATCTCCAGCCCTTGGGATTTTGAGACAGAGTCTCAGTACATAGCTCAGGCAGTTCTCAGGCTCACTATTCTCCAGCCTCTACATGAGCCCTAGAGCTACATGCATGCACCATCGTACACGACTGCCTTATTTGTATATTATTAGTATAATTATTATTTGCTGAGGATCAAACCCAGGGCCTTGGGCATGTAGGCAAGCACTGATGCAGCCTTGGCCCCAAACCTCTGCTGTCAATGTTTAGGAAACATATTCCCCAGAACAATCAGTGAGACATGCTTGATACTTCACTGAGCTGTAATAATAGAAAGGAGGCCATTAGGAACTTTCTATTCCTTTTCCACTGTTTAAACAAAGTGTTTGAGGCAGGGATATGCAGATAGGCTTATTTAGTTCATGGTTTTAGATATTCAAAAGTGTGAGTCAGCTCTGGTGTGGCCCTCATGGGACCCCAGTGTGAGTATGTGTGGGGAGCTGATGATCGTAGGTGACACAGGAAGTGAACATGAGGTGAGACAGGAAGTCATCATAAGTGAGAAAGAAAGTGACCATAGGTGAGACAGGAAGCATACAGAATGGCTCTTGTATTGAAGACTTCCCCACAGAACTAACCAGAGCCCCATGAGAACTATTTCAGTCTCCCCAGGGCATGCTCCACTGATGTCCTGTTGTAAGCCCCGCTTCTTGAAGTTCCCCTCACGCATTGCCCCACTGAGACCCCAGCTTTCCACCCATGACCCGTCAAGGACTGTACTCAAACCACAGCAGACAACCAGATAATGACACTAACAGCAGTGATCACACAGATAAACAGTAGAACTATGGGGTGGGGGAAGAAATTCACAAAACCTCAAATGGCATCATGACATAAAAAATTAGCAATCCTTGGCATCACCTCTACAGAGAGGAGAAGGGAGGCTGTCTGGTGTATTATGAGAGAGCTTGCTGTCCCTGGTTATCATCCACCCAGACACCCAGCCCCGGTAAAATAAGCTCTCCTGGGCAGTAAAATTGCCATATGATGAAATAGTCAAATGATCATGAGACTAGGAACCAGAGACAGATAAGGAGTTAGAAAAGGCTATGAAGAAGCAGGGAACCTATCTTGTAACAACTTAGAGCACAGGTTTGTTCAAAGGACACTGCTTGCTCATGGACTCTCAGAAGAGTGAGAGACCTGGGCTCCAAGGCAACCTAACTATCCAGTCCCAATGCACACAGCCCTACCATTTACCTGTTTGGCTTCTCTGTTCTTGCGTGTTTGGTGAACACATGTCTCAAGAGAGAGTAAGTAATGTAATTATGTTTAAATTAAAAATAAAGTAAATTTATGGAAATAATCTGTAGCTGGAAGTTCAGTAAGAGGAGAGAAGGTCTTCCCAGGAAGACCCTCATAGCTTGGAGTTGCAGCCCTTTTAATGGGGAGCCCAAGCTGTCCCTAGTACTGAGACCAAACACCAGGGACAGGGACAGAGAAAAGTCAGAATGTGGAGAAGGAGAAGAGCCAGAAGGAAGTGGAGACACTTGCATTCCCTCCTTTATCATCACCAGGAATCAAATGTGACAGGCAATATTAGGGGCTCCCAGAAAGAACTGAATCACAGCCTTTGAGTTTCTGGAAGGGAATGTGCGTGTGCGTGCGTCTCTCTCTCTCTCTCTCTCTCTCTCTCTCTCTCTCTCTCTCTCTCT